TATTGTAATTTTCTTGTGTCACTGTTGAAACTTGTGAAGGATATTTAACTGATGCAGCAACGAAATGGAAACATTTATGTTACATTCAAAGATTAAGAAATAGCATCAGATATTTCACATTTGTCATTTCGTCATTAGAATATCAATGGTGACGGCAATTTGTGATGCTGTGGCTGACATTATAAAGCGATGACTGCACATACAGGTGAGCTTCCGTCCAACAGAACTATGCTTATATTTATAGAGACATATTTATAGATATTTATAAAAACTTACAGAGTTGTCTTCATCTTACCTTTACGGCCTTCGCATTACATACAAACGCTCTATATAGTTAGCTCTATATAGTTTTACTTTGACATACGGCGATGGATTAGGAGAGTACACCAGCGTGTACACCGATGCCATTCTCACCATGACCAACTACAACACTGGCTCACTGTGAGCAGCCCAGGGGACTGCATTGACCTCTGTCTGGGGGAGTCCACCTTCGTGTGCAATGTTGCTGTTGTAACCTACTCGGACAGAATGTGGAGCTAAATTATGGGAAATCCTCAATTCCCTAATAAACACAAATTTCGATATAATAACATATACACGCATGTTTGTTCGAGACTGTGCCTTGAACAATGGAACAACATCTCACAGTTCAGTTAATCGATTAATCATTTATCCTGGCATCGACAATATGACTTCTGTATCTTTCCTCCGTTACCCGTGATACATACACCCGTATCATTGACACGTGTCTGTTTTCAATCAGGGAAGGGAATGAGGCCGTGCTTATTTCACGAAACAATGATTGAGCCGGACTCTTTGTTTGTTACCTTCCGTTGTCTTACATTGAAGTAGGGAACAGGAAAGTGGCCGCAAAGCTTTTGTACACGTTGCACGAGAAATATTGCGCGCCGATTGTAATTTTGGCTCTTTTTTATACATATTGTATTTTCGGTTCATGTGCAGATAAAGGTTTGAATATCCAATATCTGTTAGTTTCGAGTTATTTTCTGCTTTTCCGTAATAGCTTTGCATTCTTCCACATAATGAAGTAGCCAACCGTACCATGCAACTGAAATCCTTAAAAGTAGTTCAGTTCGAGCAAAGGAAAATATTCTTGCCCATGTGCGAAATATTTTAATAACGCTATGGATTAGTTGATTTAGGTTAAAATGAGTTGAATTATGTGTCATGATACTTGTAGACACACCTTTATGTATTTGCAAAACAAAGACATACGTCTTGAACAAAGGAAACTATTCTCGCTCATGGGCAAACTATTTTAATAATGCTATACATTAGTTGACCTCAGTTCAAATGAGTTGAATTGTGTGGCATGGTACTTGTAGAAAAACCTTTATGTATTTGCAAAACAAAAACATGGGTTTTGAGCAAAGGATAATTTTCTCGCCCATGAGCCACTCTTAAATTTTGATTTTTTAAAACATTTTTTGTCTCTTTTTCTTCATTAGTATATTCCCATGAACACAGCGTCTTGAATTTTGTAAATACCTTTGACCGAGACTGGTTAAAGCACGGATAGGATCTGGACAAATGGGTTTCCAGAGTCAATATGGTATGACTTACTCTTAGTAATTATTTTCGTCTCTGGTTGTACATATGCATGTTATTCAAGGATCCTTTCTTATGAAGCAGACATATAACTGCCTCACACCATTCCTCTGGGTAATTGTAACTGGACATACTTTTATATAGTGTAGGTGAGATTACATCAGTTATAGTAGTTCTTGTGTAATATCGACAAATCTTGGGGATTAAGTCTGCTTCACATTCTTAATAACATATCATGCTTCCAGTAAAGTAACAGGATCAAACGTCCCATATATACACACATACTTCAGTTTTCCTCATCCACACATAGAAACTTAGTGACTGTTTCATTCATCGTTGTATCATTCTGTTCCCCCTTTGCAAATAGGCATACTATTCTCTTTTTCGTCTTTAATTAATTAATTTTCTTTAATTCTTTTCACAAAATGTTTGTATTGTCCCTTATGGATTTCCGTCATCTTTGTTTCATTAAGTTCACATTCATAATTTATCTTGCGGCATATCCTTGCAGAGCGTGTTTCATTTCTTGGAATCTTCAAATACGTGATCTGTATTTATGTTCCTGAACCTTGACAGCGTTGTTTTTGTTTCAGAGTGGGGGAGTTAAAATTTAAACCCACATTGGCAATATTTCAGACATATCGTGACCGAAAAAAAAATATACATTAATAATAATAAAATAAAAACCTATCGACAATACAATAACTAGAATATATTTTATCTGTATATGAAACTAGTATTAAAGCATTAAAAGGTCATAACTAGTACTTGACAGTAGAATACAATACATAAAAACAGGCTACATATCTCAATGTAGATCACCATACTTGGGACCAAAGAGACTTAGGGTACCTCTGCGACCCGCATGGACCCCAGCAGGATTTACATCATCTCTTCAAGCGCTGGCTGTTTTTTTTGGACAAATTTTGCCAGTAATTAAAAAACAACATATTCTACTATTTAAAACGTGGCGGTAATAATATCTTACATACATTTACAGGGGACAAGCATTTTACACGACTTCAACCCCCAGCCACTAACAATCTCAGTTATCACATTTATTCTACAAATTACAAAAAAGTCCTTCTTTTACTCAAAACATATCAAATCTGGACTGACAGACCAAGTAGGTGTAAATAGTTGATTTAATTTCATGCAATGTATTCACACCAACTTGGGTGTCACACTTGATAACCAACAAAATTCGATGGTGTAGTTGCCAGTTGTAAGATCTTATAGAAGAGTGAGTGAGTTGGATTTAGCGCCGCTTTTAACAGTATTCCAGTTATATTACGGCGTGTCAGCTTAATGAGGGAGAAAAGCCCGAAGTGATGCAGGTCTCAGTCGTTTACCACTTCGGTGAAACCCACGAGCAGGGGTTAGTGCTGACAAACCTAGAAATATAATCGGGGCGAACCTGGATTCGAACCCACAATCATAGGTTTCTGGCGTGCCGAAGGGACGCAACTCTGCACAGCGAATCGTACTACATTATGAAGTTAGGTCACATAATTTGTGAACAAGTGCTCTTACTCCTATCATAAACTAAGTAGAGGCCATATATGCACCCAATACGCTGTGAACGAATTGGGGCAAAATTACTATTACAATTACTAAAAACAAAACCTCGACGTAGGACTATTCGTTTGACAAGGTACACAATGTGTGTGTGTTGGAGACGGTTTTACGGCAGTCTTAATTTCAGCCATAAAACATATACATATGTTTGGACTAAACATAAATACGGTACTCAATACCCAACATCCTGTCAAATAAGTCGTTATATAACTTATCAAATAATGCATCATATAGGGCCAATACCAGCCAAACCCAAGCATCGGTACTATCACCTTTGGCATGGAACTAAAACCTGTAGACATGTTCATTGATGTTTTGTACTGACGTCGAAAGCTCCATAAGCATATGAGAAGTTTATTGCAGGGTCAAGCAAATACATAACTTCGTCCTGTCTCAAAGACTAATCATAATTTTTAATACAATTAGGAAAGATCTATCCGAACTCATGTAGGTTTTATAGTGCTTGCCCAGTAAAGTCTTGAGATCGGTCATGGGATCAAACCTTCTGCCGGACCGCCTCCGTGGTCTAGTGGTAGAGCGGAAGGTCCGGGGTTCGATCCCCGGCCGCGTCATACCAAAAGACGTTAAAAGATGGTACTTGTTGTTACCCTGTCTGTCGCTCGGCTTTAAGGGGCTAAAACAAGGACTGGTCGGCTCGGAGTCAGTATACTGTGTCTGAGTGGGGCATTCATGTTAAACTGCGGCATGGTATCTCAGTGGGCTAGCACTATAAATCGGCATCAGTCCGGACTAGTACAAGCAGCCACACACACACGAGCATGCACGTCGCTATATAAGTGCAATAATCTTGGACGCGACGTTAAACCCAATTTCACCTCACCTCACAAACCTTCTGCCATCCGGACAGACGCTCTTTCTGATACACCATGGATGTGGTGATATTAAATATTTACAACACGAAAAAAATTAAAGAACACTCAACGCCAGGTTATCTAAAGTAATATGAAAGAAGCTGGTGTTCTTCGCCTTCGTTTGAGTAGGATATATCGATTAATCCTCTGGATACCGACATACATGTATACCTTTCCTCTTGAACCATTACATTTGAAGGTGAATTAATATCAATTACTCACGCACAAAATTGTACTTCAGTTTTGGATATGCACTATTATGACGTAAGTGTCACAACCTTTATTTGCAAAGCGTAAAATCACTAAAAGTTCTGTTGCTAATTTCGACATTCACCACATCACACTTCTCAGCGTATTTGATTAATGATTGCATCATCTCTTTTGTATGGGAAACGTTTGACATTTGTTACTCCGTGATTATTCATTTCAATTTCTGTCATACAACAGAGACAATGTATGTTCCCTATCTCCTTTCCTGTAATTAAGCTTTTGGTGTGGGTAAATCACAACAGGAGTAGAACCCTTGCAATTGCATGATTGTTGATTGTTTGCAGTCATTCAACCAGCAGAAATCTAGATAAAATACTTTTTACATCCTGCACGTCTCCATCAAGTGCCTTAGAAATGGCAACAAAAATTGAGCTTCAAGTGTACCATCAGCATTGGAAACCTCTGAAAATCGAGAACAACTAAATTGAGGAATTCTTCTTGTAGCATTTTCTACATCTGGGGAATAATCTCACGCACGTTTTGTGTTTTAGGATTGTGCCATTTTGAAGTTGTAAATGGTTCACCATACCATCTCCCCACCCACCACGGACTATCACAAAGAAAATGCTTTAAGCCCGTGGATATCCAACTGGCAGCTCTGAGGATACTTGAACGGAATGCTCAAGCAGACAATAAACTAAATATAAGTTAATCCACCAGCATGGCCCATTTGCCATCCTGGACCCCAAAGAGTAAAAAACAAAAAAACAGACTGAATCATTATTTATTTTATCCAAACGCAAAAGCTAATAATCGGCAGATGATGACTTTGGGTTTGATCATTTTAATGCTCTTAAAGCGGGAGAAAGCAGATCACTAAACAATGTGATGACAAGTAACAAATATTGGACCAACCTAAAAAATAACAAAGCTCTGAGACTTCATAACAACGGAAGTTTTCAACCACCAATTATATGTTCATGAATATGAATGAATATGAATGTTAAACTTTCCAAAGGCGTTCTTGATACCTGAACAATGGTTAACATAATACAGGGGATCTAAATTTACAGACCAATCAACTTAACTTCTGTTGTAACTAAACGCTTATACAATTTTATTGAAACAGGAAGCAGGAGTTACAAAAGGATAAGTACGATCGACCTAATATGTACCTTTTATAGCTTATATAAAATAAAGCTTGAAATAATGGATTTTGAAAACGTTTTCGATAGACTCTGGTGGTCTGGTCTTTGGCAAAAGTTATTACAAATAATATATCTGGCAAATGCTTCCATATTTAACCATGTTTCAATTTAAAGACTACCAGTCAATCTTTTGTTTGCATGGACCTCAAATGACCTTGAATCATAACTCACTAATGACTTTTGTGAAGGTGTATAACTATGTTTGTACTGTTGTATGCTGATGACGCAGTTCTGTTTCTTTACAAAATATGTTTAATAGATATTGTACAACATGGATGATTCATATCAATATTTTTAAGACTAAAGGAAAGTATTTGGCAGGTCTATAAGCGATTACAAAACACAGTTTGACTTTTTCTACACGAAGCAAAATTCATCGGAACATTCCACAAAAGCCAAGTACTTTATCCTGCATTTAACCAACATTGCTTCCGCAAATAGATGGATGCCCTCGATCCTGAAGTCAAGCTCTTGCAGTTGTATTGTTGTCACATTCCCTTTCAAGGAGACGCAGGTCTTGTGCTGGAGTAGGTCTGTTTTCAGCAGTTACATTCCTGTTGGATAAACAATAGTCATGAGATTTACTCAGACGTAAGACCAAGTATGTTTTGATATTCAGTGGTACATTTGATATCTCTGCTAACAGCAGAGTCGATTTTACGATTCTGACGATATCATGAGCATGTATTTGTTTATCACTATCAAATTTTGATAGTATATAACCACAATCTCATGTCTTCGCCAATGAAGAATTGAAGTACACTTGTAATATGTTGTACTGAAGATGTACCACACACGTTCTTATGGTTTAATAATGGATCATTATTTAAACAAATTAAAAAATATAATCATTTAATGTTAACATTAAAATTGGAGCAAGACAATATCCAGCACGCAATTATATATACAATTATACGATTCAAGAATTGGTTTAATTAGCAGTTACAAAAGTACGAAAGGGAATGCAAATTCATGGCGAAGCTTTTTTTCTACCCTATACACACAAACAGCACAGAGCTATCTCTGGACTCGGAAGACCATCCATAAAAGCTGTGTAGTCAAATTCTTCAAAAGGATATTACAATGAAATCTTAGTGATATGATCAGACCTGTTCCACCATCAGATAAAGACATCAATATTGAACTGAAGACTTCATGTGTGTAACCTAGGTCTCCTGATAAACTGCATGCACATATGCTAATCAATCGCATATCTTATCCTAAGACTGCCTGAATTGAAGCCAATAATAGCCAAAGATAATCAGATATTGGAAGTTTCATTTTCTTCCTCGTCCAGTGATGACCAAGCAATAAACATACTGCTTGGTTTTCATTTTTAAAAAATACGTTTCCAAAACATGACACATTGGTATGAATTTTTGCATAAAAATATCGAAATTGTACCAACGTTCCGAGTTTCTCGGCATCCTTGATTGTTTCTGGAAGCTTTTTGTTCAGTGTTTCTGGCAGAAGCAGAACCAGAAGTCCAGCAAGGAAAGCAACACCCCCGAAAACCAACATGGGTAGAATCTGGCTGTATCTACCTGTTATGTGCATTGTCTGAAATGATCGAAGTAATTAATAATAATGCTTGCAAACTAAGGATCTGACATTAGATAGAACACATCTTAGCTATTTAATTCAATCAAAGAAGACAACGATCAACAAGTTTTCAACAGTAGGCAACACAATGATAAATTTATAACGTTCAAGAATTTAAAAAGTCCCATAATGAAGATAATGATTAATCATAATAGATATGCATATCCTCAATAAGACTATCCCTGACGTAGGGCTAGAACAGATGGTTGACATATTGCACTACTAACCAGATCATTTATGTATGGTGAAGATATACTGCCAACTCTACAAAACACAGAACAAAGTCCCATGCCAAAGTTTCGTGAAGTTGTCGGCAGCAGCTCTGCAGTGAAGACATAAACGGAGGCAAATCCGGCTGATACACAAGTATTACCCAGACACGCAAGAATGTTGATGACCCACTTGTTAGCTACGGGAAGAAATAGTGCAATAGAATAACACATTGGTGATGACATAGATACATATACTTTTTCCTCCATTTGGGGAATAGATGCATATTCTGACATTGTATTTTTACTTTCTGATAACTCACGTTTTTCTGTGACAAAGAACGGAACAAACGACAGAGAACATGCCAATCCTGCCATCAGCATAGCGGTGCACAACATTTTCTTTCGCCCAATGCGGTCCATCAGGAGAAGACATATGACATATGCACATGCCTCGACCAGAGCAAACAGTAAGAAGTTGAGGTAGACGTTTCCCGAGAGGTTTGTGACGTTCATGCTGAGACCAAAGAACCCCATACCAATTGCAAGCCTTCAAATAGAAACCAAAAGTACAATATATATATATATGTATGTGTATACTGAACCGCAAAAAAACGTCACCTTACGTAACATTGCATGACAAATTTTCATTTAAATATCTGGGTAAATTTAACATTACCTTGCTGTCCGGAAAAATGAAATTTGATGATAAAAAAAACAAAGCAGATGACAATAAAACTGATCGCCCAAACGAACCACGGCAACGGCCAGGGTAACCCGATGAGCGTGAGTTCCACCATTTCTTGCCCTATAAAAATCTACCCAGATCCGATAACATTCATTCGTCATTGAATATTGCTACCACAAACCAAGATTGACAAGGCATCAGCGACACCAAGCCCTTGGACGATTTGATCGTTAGATTGTGCGACAGCGCCTTCAAGATCGCGTTGTTACTGCTGCGGAAACTGCTCGACAGACCATGGGGACACACCAGAGACACATTAGTGCGGACACCGTGCGTCGACGATTGACGAGCAGACCTCTCCACTGTCACAGGTCACACCGAGGACCCATTCTGACACCACGTCATCGCCGGGCGGTCTTCAGTGGGCAACACAGCACCAGCATTGGCGCCACCATCAGTGGAGAAGAGTCCTCTTCTCAGACGAGAGCCGTTACTGCATCTCAACAGCAGATGGCAGAGAGAGAGAGAGAGAGTCTGGCGACGACGTTGGGAACGTTATTCGGATGCTTGTGTTCCTGAGAGGGACTCGTGGGGTGGTCCGAGCATCATGGTGTGGGGTGGAATTAGGCTTGCACATCGGTCCAGGGAAACACAATGGTGTCACAGCAGTTCGGTACATTGATCAAGTCTTGAGACCACACGTCATACCTCAGTTGGCACGGCGCCGCAACCACGAGTTTCAACATGATAACGCCCGTGTCCACACTGCGAGAGCAACAAGAGACTTCTTCCAGCAGAGTGGCATCAGAACCAAGCAGTAGCCTACCCTCAGTCCCGATTAATATCCCATTGAGCACCTGTGGGACGCGATTCAAAGACGGCTGAATGACGTCTGACCAAGGCCGACAACTGCAGCTGAACTGCGTCAGGCGTTCCTCAGAGTGTGGGCTCAAGTGCCTATGGCCTTCATCAACCGCCTCATCCATTCCGTGTATCGACGTTGCACGGCAGTCATCAATGCACATGGCGGACACACGAGATACTGACTTGAGATGCCATTTTCTCAGAGACTAGTGTTGTGTTTCACCTTAAGAACATTTGATACATCAATTTCAACCTTGATGATCAATTTTTCCAAGTTTCATCATTTTAATATGTCTCAAAGTATGTTTACAGTGTTTGGACAAATACAAATTCTCATATATCTATCCATGGTGATGTTTCTTTTACGGTTCAGTATATAACCAACAATATTGATAAGGACGACAAATGTAAAATTATATTTCGGGCACGAAGATCAATTTCAATAAACTGTCTTGGAGGCATTTAGGAGCGTGTACTGAGGACAGTTGCAGTAGTGATTGTGAGTTTCCTCATAGTCGCTAACACTTTGGGTTCAATCCAAGGAGGACATTAATTTTATCAGAAGAAATAATAGTTGTATGAACGAAGTTTGGCATCTTTATATCTTAAATCACATAATAGCTTTATTGACACTTGTAAAAATACCTGTGCTGCATGTTTTAAATATATCTTTTGAGTGAGTGAGTGAGTTAAAATTAAACGTCGCATCGGCACTATTTCAGCAAGAAAGCGACGAGACCAAGTTAATGTATTCACAATTTAGTAATTTATGCAAAGTTATATTTACAAACAATTTATGAAAGATATTTGAGCTTCACAATACCATGTATTCAGTTTTTAAACACGGGCTATAGTCCACCAGTAACCAACGCTATGCCACCGCGCTGAGGATCATGGGAACTTAGTTCCTCGGCGTCCTGCATGCTACCCCATATATCTTTTGAAATCGGTCCCATATCTTCAATGCAGTGATATCTATTGACCTATGACACTTACCAGGTGTATAATACAATCAACGTCCTCTTCAACATGACAGGTGACTTCAGTAATTCCCAGAACTGTTCCTGCCGCGTATCGAGAGTACATGTGACATCATCAAGCATGTCTTGAGTGAGGCTAACGTTGTTTCCCTTTGCCAGTTTCATCACAGTTGTGTTTGCTTCTGCAGTCTTCCCTCTTCTATACTGCCACCTTGGGGAATCGGGCAGGAAACTAGAAAATAATCCTACTTATTAGACACACAACTTTGAAACAGTGAATTTGGAACCAGGTACTACCATGGTTGTTTGTTTGTTGATTAACGCCGCACTCAGCAAAATTCCAGCTCTATCCACGCAATTGGGATAGGATGACATGCATCAATCAAAACAGCGAGCCTGACCACCCGATCCCGTTAGTCGCAGACCCGTGAAGATCCGGGGTAGAATAGATCTTCGGCAACCCATGCTTGCCGTAAAAGGCGACTATGCTTGTCGTAAAAGGCGACTAACGGGATCGCTGACTTGTTTGATGCATGTCATCGATCCCAATTGCGTGGATCGATGCACATGATATTAATCACTGGATTGTCTGGTCCAGACTCGATTATTTACAGACCGCCGTCATATAGCTGGAGTATTGCTGAGTGCGGCGTTAAACAACAAACCAACCAACCAATCCAACCGTTAGTCGCCTCTTAGGACAAGCATAATCGCTTTTTTCGGTAAACATGGATTGAAGTTAGGTCTTTATAAACGAAAAACATGACAGAAATAATACGTCATCAATACACAATGCCTTTTTGTAATTTAATTAGCTCATATCTGCAACATTCAAAAAGTTATATGTATCATTTAGTATACTGCACATAAGTAAGAATACTCACTACAGATAGGCAAAAAGAACTCCAGGAATGCTAATCACAAGTTGTCTTGTTTTCCAGTCACGCATCAGGTAGACCGTCAGAGCAACAATGATGTTCCCTACACTCCAGAAGAGATTCATAGCCACTCCTACCAGCATTCGTTTGGAGGGACCGACACATTCCATACCTGGTGAAAAACATTTTCATGTACATTCACAAATTAATGACTGAACACCAATCTCCAAACTAACATGTTTTTGTTATTATCATCTTTGGTAACTCTTGATCATTAACATATTGTCGTAAGCGGCGACTAACGGCATCGGGTGGTCATGGTTGTTGATCAATAAACACGATGTCAGTAACTAAATAGTCTGGTCCGAATCCATTATTTTCAGACCGTCGTCATACAGCTGGAATATTGCCGCGTGCGGCATTGAACGATAAACCAAAATACATAAACATCATGCCATTGAACCGGAAGAGAAATTATACTATCATCCTGAACATGTATGGCATAAAATGGATTGCCAGTAACTGCCGTAAAAGGCGACAATGTTTGTCGTAAGAGGCGATTGACGGGATAGGGGGGTCAGGCTCGCTGACTTGGTTGATGCATGTCATCGTATCCCAATTACGTGGATCGGTGGGCATATTGTCAATCACTGGATTGTCTGATCCAGACTCGATTATTTACAGATCGCCGTGATATAGCTGGCCATGGAATATTTCTTAGTGCGGCGTTAAACAACAAACAATGTAGACGGGACGAAACGTGATTCGAACTACGATCACTTTTCTTGTGTCCAAGGGAATGCGAAATGTAGCACCTACGACGACTGGGCCAACATAATAAATATTCACAGCGAAATTTCAATAATGGGGACAGAAATGCAAGACTGGGTTGTTCTGTGAGAGACCTGGCCTCGATTCATTTGTGCTGAATCAGATGTTCTGCTAAAATTGTGATTGCAACTTGAGACTGAACATGCACGAGATTTCACAGAATCAATTTGTTTTACATGTTAACGCATGTTCCAAATGTTAGATAATTGACCATGGACGTTACACGTGGAGATAATGTTTTTGCTACCGTTAAGGTAAGAACGAGGTTGGCAGTGCTCCATATAAGCTACATTTAATATGTGCTCACTGTTTTCCTATATAATCAAGTTAGTAAATATAAGTGACAAAGCCCATTTCTATTGACTAATATTTGTGAGAAGAAAATAATTTTTTACAGGATTAAGGATACAGTGTTGAATTAAACCTTCTTATGCAGTCACTACGCTTCCTCATACTCATGTATTTCAAACAGAAACAGGACAGTCACATTTGCCCATTGCCTACTTTCAATCAGTGCTAAGTTAAGTGTACACTTAAGGAGTAAGTATATACTCCAAAACGTTGTGTTCATCATAATAAAGAAGTTGACATCCATAAATTATCTTCCTTATATTTATCAGGTGTTCGTTAGGGTGATGTGTTACGCCACTATCAGTTACATTCCAGCAACAATATAAAGGCAGCCCGAACATAATCGAGTCTGGACCGTTCACACCAGTTATTGATATTGTGAGCAGCATGCAACGCCCTCGAGGAAAGATGAGAAACAATCAACCAAGTCATTGATTCCCAGTCCCATCCGATCCAGTCGTCGTAAATAAAAATTGAAACTATTTTACTAGGTCCCAAATTAGGTTTCTCAATTGAACATGGAAACATCTTAATCGAAGTAAACAATATGAACGTACTGAACACGAAACACGAGAGGTACTGCACGTTGTTGGTTGCTGCTATGACTAAAATTACTGTGATGATCAGGTAGTAGTTAGTAATCAAGGCGAGACAGATGCTCAGAAGAACTGCGACAAATGTGCTGGTCAGGATTACTCTCCGCCGTCCGAACCTGCAACACGAAAGGCAACATAAGCAGTCTTTACAAAGATATAGTTGGTGCCTATTTGTAGATTAAATAACTGTTATGGCACACAAAGGGTATGTGTAAGATAATAGGAAGGAAGAAGTTGATGTACTAAAAGACCTCATTTAGTCACACAATTGGAACTATCATCTCAATTTATGGTTCAGGGATTTTCAATCAGTAGGTATTATAACGTTACTGGTAACAACTGTAACAACATAGTAGTAACTATCTAATGGTGATGATACCAGGTGTTCGCGACAAGATGAGCTACAGTCCGTTTGACTCCAAATGAGAACGATGAATTGCAAAATAACTCGAAATCCAGAAAAGTGTATGAAACATCAATACGGTACTTGACCATGAATACCCTGTACCCAACAAAATCTGAATTTTGTTTAATTTAAGACCCATGACGCATGAAGTTCTTTAAGAAACTATCATGTAATTTTGTATAGAAATGTGTACATGACACGTAGGGGGGACAAACCGTGGAAGGAACAGCACAAGCACGGTCTGCACGTTCTGTGGTAGGGGAAATGACAGAGCGTTAGAGGGGCCGTCTCATGATAATTTCAGTCGCAATCTGACTCGCTCATGCCATAGATAGATTTTGTTGGGTACAGGGTATTCATGGTCAAGTACCGTATTGATGTTTCATACACTTTTCTGGATTTCGAGTTATTTTGTAATTCATCGTTCTCATTTGGAGTCAAACGGACTGTAGTAATGACCCAACAGTGGCATTGCACTTTGAAAAAATGTATCATAACTACATATGAACAGAAACACACGGATGAAACAAGTAAGACTTTCCACGTGCTGTCAAACGGCAAGATTGATTGCCCACAAGATTGTCTCACCTCGCTAGCTCTCATGACAGAGAGCGACTTTTTTCGTTTACATCAGAGCACAATTCTGACCATTGTAAAATACGACCATGCAACGTCCTGTATTGATCTATATTTACCTCTGAGTTTTGACCTGCGATCACATACATGTACATGTGTCAACCTATTATCCAGTAACTGTACGAGAACATGAGAGTGGCTCTTGTTATTTCGACGTACTGAAACGTCTCATTTGAAGAACAAAGAAGTTGAAACCAACTAAAGCTTCTAAATTTAGTATCAGAAATAGAAAAGATGTACCGCTAAACGTTGTAACATATATTAATATTTAGTAAATGTTTGATGTTTGTTTTCTTCTTTTTAGATCTCTCAATTTGTTATTGATGTTATCATCGAAAACGTTTCTCAAAGAGCTTTTATCGCAGTATTGGTCCTCAATAGGTTCAACAGGATCGTGATGAAACACAGTTATTGACTGCGTAAGTGAATGTATATGTCATTTCAACTGTATCGCTGAGAAAGATCTTTGCATTCACATGTTAGTTTTGTGGCTTTAAAAAAGAGCAAAGATCTGAACACATGTCAAACGTCTTATTGTCAGGAACACTTTAAAACTCATTACCCCCATTTCTTACCAGAGAGCACAATGACACATGCCACTGAGGATTGCAACTGAATGCACTTATGTCCTCTCAACGTCTAAGACGTCGTTTGACGACCGACGAATTAGGCAGATGCATAGGCGTGCTTGAAACTAGGTCACCACCATGTAAAATTGCAAACGTCTTTGGCGTCAGCCAAAATGTGATCAGAAGGGCTTGGAATCGACATTAGACATATGGATCAGCTACACAGCGACAGGCACGCGTGTCCACCAAATAGCGGCATGGCGTCACCATACTCAGAAATGACCTGCGGAGTGGCGTTAACGTTTCTACTCAGACAGAGCATAATTATCTCAGTGAGTCTGATGTCCCAAACACCTTCATGACCGGCCATGCATTTGCATCCCACTGACCCGTCATCACGGGCAGGCACCTTTGGAATGGGCTAAAGATCGTCCTACCAGGACTGACCTTCAGTACGTTTCACTGATGAATTGAGAGATACTCTCTAGATTTCACAGATCGTTGTGCCGAAGGAGAATGACTTCAGGATTCCAACGTAGCCCAACATGACCGCTGTGGAGGGGACTCATAATTTGAGATAGGATGGTATGAGTAGAGCTGGACGAACCGATGGCGTGGCCAGCCTGGCGAGATCGCCCTCTCACGACGCTCGTTCCTCCCTGCAACTCAACTCGCCGACTGGTACTGAAGAGTGGAACAATCTCCCAATGGCAACCGTCCTGACACTTATGGGAGTATCAGACAACTTTGGTCGCATCACGTGGATCGCATACGTGCGACTGGGAGTTTTTCGTTTTTTGGACAATGAATTATTGTTCGTGATTTGGTCAGAGGACAACGAACGTTTGTTCATTAGACATGACATATACACAATATTGTCTTTTGTTATGTCAACAGATGCACACAATTTGACCTATTACCTATACAATTGATGATCCTAAGCAAAGGCTGAGTAGTATGCTTGTACACGACGGCTTCACATAGTTGTTCAAATCATACTTAAAGATAAGACGGTTAAATTATGGCGGACCGAGTACTTACATGTCGGACATGGGGCCTCCAATAAGAACTCCAACCAGTTGCCCTACCATGGCCATCATCTTGGCGTGACTTACGTACAGCTTCCGGTCACACACAAGGTCCATCTGAGAAGGTGAGTATTACGGTTCAATGTTATACATATACACACTTGGCCTCAAAAGCAAAATTTTTGGTTTGTTTGTTGTTCTTCTTCCCATTCAACATTATTTCCGCTGTATCATGGCGAACACACCGTCATGGTATGATGGCGCAGTGTAATGTCAGTATAACCACCCGATCCCCATTTGAGTCGATTCTTGTTGAATATACGTATCATATTTAGCGCTTTCAGTTTGTTTAATTGACATGTTTTCAGTCTCTGCTTCAAGAAATAAAGTCTTTTATTTCCTAGGCATCAACTTTGATGGGCGGCTCATTTTAGATTTGGATCTATAGAACCAGGGTTAGAAATCAAATACATAGCTGAGGAAACATATTAAGTGTCATATCTTGATCTATGTATAGGCATTATATTTGGCTAAGGTGTAAGACAAGAATGATGATTTTGATTTTCCCTTTCTGTCGAGCAATAAACGCCGTACCATCAGCTCCAGGCTGTCTCACAGTCCTTGAACCATATTATATTCTCTCCCAATCTCATTAAAATCATATCTTAGTTTACGCTACCTATCTGAGGACATGCCATTACGGGTCACGTCACAACGACCTTTGGCGAATTTTGACCGACCAATGAAATGACTGACAAGAAATCGACATCAGCCAATCAGAAGGCAGCTTTCTCGAGCTTTACGACACTAGTTTCAAACTGGTGACTACGCTTCGAAACATATTTTGACGTATTCTTAATAAAAAAAATAAAACCGATAAGAAGAATATTTTGGAATGGCTTATAGATGGCCTAGATTGTATGGATATAATCATAAAACCCGTAACCGTCGTTCGGAATACCCCGTGTTTAATATTTCGTGGTTGCATGATTAGAAAACACATTCCGACTGTCACTTTCATGATCTGGTAAGCGTCGATTGGTTGGATGAAAGGTCGTTCTGACGTGACCCTTAATGGGATGTCCATAGATCTTTGTTCAGCATAGCGAGAACTAAGGTCTGATTTTAATGAGATTATATTCTCTCCTAAGCCGCTCTTTCTGTAATGCTAAAGGCCTGGATTTTCTGGATTTTCCTCATGTTAGGGTCTGCTAACATCAGCAAGAAAACTAACTCACTTCAGGGGTCGGGTAACAGAGTAAACGTATCAAACTGCTTTGACATCTTCACCAGTGGTCAGGATTCTCTTCTTACATTTGCATATATGCCTGTCATTTAAACCTTTATGTTATTTTTGTAGAATGTGATTTTTAATTGATAATGACCCCATCACATGTAGCGCCAATTCAGATGTTATTAGTCTCTGAATCTCCCAACTCACTGGGACTCCTTTTCAATTTTTAGAGTTATTTGTTTCTGTCAGAATTATATACTGAACCGCAAAAGAAACGTACTTTGAGATATATTAAAAAGATGAAACTTGGCAAGACTGATCATCAAAGTTGAAATTAATGTGTCAAATGTTCTTAAAGTGAAACACAACACTAGTCTCTGAGCAAATGGCATCACAAGTCAGTATCTTGTGTGCCCGCCGTGTGCATTGATGACTGCCGTGCAACGTCGATACATGGAATGGATGAGGCGGTTGATGAAGGCCATAGGCACTTGAGCCCACACTATGAGGAACGCTTGGCGCAGTTCAGCTGGAGTTGTCGGCCTTGGTCGGACGTCATTGAGCCGTCTTTGAATCGCGTCCCATAGGTGCTCAATGGGATTTAAATCGGGACTGAGGGCAGGCCACTGCATGGTTGTGATGCCATTCTGCTAGAGGAAGTCTTTTGGTGCTCTCGCAGTGTGGGCACGGGCGTTATCATGATGATACTCCTGGTTGCGGCGACGTGCCAATTGAGGTATGGCGTGTATTCCGGACAAGGTAATGTTAAATTTTAGAAACTTTGAATAAAATTACCCAGATATTAAATGACAACTTTTCATGCAATGTTACTTGGGGTGACGTTTCTTTTGCGGTTCAATATTTTTTCAGAGACTAAACGTTAGTTTACAAAGGATCCAGCTTATGGCGTCTACATTTCACTGCTGCTAAGGTACTTATGTGCATGTACATATTAGTCAAATTTCATAGAATGACAAATTTTACTTTACAGCTATACTTGTCAATCAAGGTTTCACAATCAAAGGCCTTGTCAAGTCATTCCAGAAACCTAATGGGGTACTAGAGTAATGTTCTAAGTGTCAACATGCTATCCCGTACTGTGACCTTTACATGCAGTTTTCACACCTCCTTACTCATTAGAACTTTTTGAAGTGGATCGGGTGGTCATTTTTGGTAATTATTCATTGCTGATGTTATTGAACACTGGATTATCTGGTCCAAAACCGGTTTTTAACATGCTGCCGCCGTCGTATGGCAGGATTATTGTTGGTTGCGAGAAAAAAATGAAGACATACTTTTATTTATGAAAATTGTGTGAGTGGTGGGTACTAAGGGTAGAAAATGACACGGTTACCCTTTTCGCGATCACAGAATTACAGAATCACTATGTTGCCTCTAAAGGCCCTAAGGAATATATTCCGGCAGATAATCGAGACTGAATATTCTCTAGAGTTTACAATCGTTTAAACCTATAGTTCTAAGAAGTCACACATAACCAATGCTCCCTGCCTTTCTTATGTTAATAACTGTATCATTATCAATTACTTACTGTTTGGGTAACAGTTGACTGATAAACGCTTTTATCATATTTCCACTTATGACATGGTTCAGTGATGGTACTCAAATTGTGGGATGATGCATTATCAGACATCGAATATATATCGCACGATGATTGAGTTAGGTCGCCATGGTTATCATTAACAAACGGTATTGTCCTGTTGATGAGATCAGCATGAGCCTCGTTTTGAATCTGGAAGGTATCATTTTTCAATCCGGGTATTGCACATCTGTAATGCAAGAAAAAACAACTGTTGACATCTTGCTAATACAGGGAGGACATGTTTGAAGTGGCAATTTAGATAAACCCTAAAGAGGTAAAGTAACCTGCAATGATGGCACAGCCTGTTCACAGACCTTATGACACCTGTGATGTAATTTGGTTACGAAGAAATAATATTTGAAATGTTTTGTTGAGAATGAGAATGAGCGAGTTGGGTTCAACACAGCCCCGAGCAGCATGTTATGATTGATATTTAATTTCTCCATAGTTTTGCATGACATATAGTTGCGTCACTCTTACTTGTTTAAGATGAACGTTCAGAATTGCCAGCGAATTACTGGCCCAGAATCAACTGCAAGAACCATAGCGTAACGTCATCATAATGGTTTAATAGAAAAAGAAACTTAATCTGCAGGACTTACCTATGTTCTGGCACAGCAAAGAGGAACACAAAGATGACCATACCGATGACAGCATTCTGGATGGCGGGGAGGCTAAGGAGAATGTACAGACGTCTCTGGGATGGACCAAAATCGCCCAGTGTCTCCAGAATGTCGTCAAACTTCATTTTGTTTCCAGGGAACTCTCTCGAATCATCTGTTATTCTCTTCCAAGGATACGTTTCTTGATGCAGTGTTTCGACTTCCCTTTTAATGGAAAGAATTGACATTATAGGTTTCAGATCTTTTCGACAAGATTGCTTTCAACACATGATTTGAAAGTTATCTGCATAGTGGCAGGCATCCAGCATTCAAGTACTGATGTAATGTCAATGAGTGGAGCCCTATTAAAATAAAAACGGCTAAACCCTTTCCAGATTCATAAGAAAGCTCTGCTAAAAGTAGACTCGATTGTGCGATTCTGACTATATCGGGAGCATACGTTTATGAATCACTGTCAAATTGTTATGATACCGGGTGTTCTCGGAAAGGTGAGCGTATCCTGCCCCACCACTGGGGAAAACACATGCAGGAGTAAGTCATGATCAATTGTACGTCTGAAAAAGACGGGAACATAAGGTAAAAGTCAAAATAGTGAATTGCATAGGACATCATTTTTGTTATCGATGTGTCCAATTTGGAAATGTCCTCAACATGTCTGCCATAAGATTTTTTTCAAATCTTTACTGAGCTTTGAATGTTGTAACCTTGATCAAACAACTTACGAGCAAGAGGAGGTGAGGTGAAATAGGGTTTAACGCTGCGTTCAAGATCATTGCACTCATATAGCGGTGTGTGTGTGTGTGTGTGTGTGTGTGTGTGTGTGTGTGTGGCTGTGTGTGTGTGTGTGTGTGTGTGTGTGTGTGTGTGGCTGCTTGTACTAGTCCTGACGAATGCCGATTTTTATGGTGCTAGCCCGCCGAGATACCATGCTCGAGTTTAACATCAATACGCCACACAGACATGGTTTACTGATTCCTAGCAGACCAGCCCTTAGTTCCAAGCGCCAGGCAGGGTAACATCAAGTACCATCCTTTAACGTATTTTGGTATGACGCGGCTTGACATCGAGTCTCTGATATTCCGCTCTCCAGTCAGACGCTTTACCACTGGAACACGGAGGCGGTCCTGCGCAAGAGTCTTATGACGCTCTTTGAAATCTTGGTAGAAAGAGCATGCTCGATTATACATCAAAAGTTTTAAATGGAAACACCAAAAGGAGCTGCTTGAATGTTGCTCGGCATAAAAAAATGACTTTTTGAAGTCATCCCTCTTGTCATACAGTCTTATGGAGAGATTTTTCGCTCTGAATCTTTATACATAGATAAACATATGAAACAGATCAGGCCGTTTCACTGGGCTCCTTTTTTCAAGTTCAGGTGGGCACATCAGTGGGAAGGAAATAGTTCTTAGTTATGAGCTGTATCAAACTTCTTGGCCAAATTACCTTCTTTTAAATTTGCCAATCCGAACAGATATTTCGATTCATATGCATACAGAATCAGATCAGCAAGTAGGGGATCATGATTGGTCCAGCATTTCACATATTGGTTTCTCAGTGAACTTCAGATACTATTTGCTTTCATTATTGACACATTATCCTGAACCTCTGAAGACAGATATGTAACTATATCTATGGTCACCACATTAAGTGACGAATGCCCCTTAGATCAAGGAATGAACTTTTCCTGTGGGACGTTTGTCGTGTTGCATAGTGGTGTACAAAGATTTAAAAATCAAATGTTTTGCTACACCTGTACTTGGTTCTTTTCTGAGTTTGCAACAGTACAAACAAATCCTTCGAGTGTCTCAAATACTTTCTGTGTATATAAAGAAAACCCTTCCTTGATTGCATTAAGGATTATGATTAATCTTTGAGACAGGGATTTGGTGGTACATTAGCTGGACCCAGCAATATACCTTCCTTTGAACAGATCTTTGGAATCCAGAATCATTGGAATCTTTGGATATATTTCGAGGGTTTGGCGTCAAGCAAGAAGTAGATAGTACTGATGCGTGCTTAGGGAAGATTTCTTCAGATCTGGCCTTATATGGCATCACGTGTGGCATTATCTGATATGCCACTTAAACCAATTTCTTTGATCAAACAGTTAATGTAGTGCGTCTTATAATGGTTATATTATATGAGGCCTTGTCAGTAGGACCAACAAACTTTTCATGTAGGGCTGCTAGATTTTGGATGACAGCAAAGTTGAAACAAAACGGGTTTCCTCTTTCTACTAATGACAACATCATGCACTGACTCTGAAGGACATTCAACGGGTTTCTCTTCTCATTTGTCCTATTATTTTGGCATATGCTTCGACACCATCCATGATCTTAAAGCCATTTTCCAGTTTCGCGAAATAAATACGTCCGTTTACAGTGACGTCCCTTTCCAAAACCTCATGACCGCGGCCCAACCGTCAAAAACAAACCTCTGTCAAACATTTGACATGCTTGACCGCTTTCTGACGGTTACGGAAAGAGGAGCCGAATCTGCCTTTCACTACTGTTTTTATAAAAGGACATGAAAAATGTACTTTTTATTCTTATTCTGAAGTTAAAGAGTCAACCGGAGAAGTGTTTGAGGTGGGCGAGTTCCTGTGGTCGAGAGGGAGGTGACGACCAAAGCATCACGAGGCCTACCTATATTTGTTCCAAACACTCCGTAGGTGAGTAGTTTATGAATATGTGACAATGTATGTTTTCCTCAGGTATAAATGGAAAATTATAAATATTGTTGTTGACTAATATAATGAATTTCTCGGACAAGGATCTAAACCCCAGAAACACGCATTCCGAAATATTTTCAAACAGACGTTTTAGTCTTTGTATAAACCACAATTGATTTATAAGTATTCCAATAGGTGGCCGTGGACCAAATTCGGATTTTCCCAACCCTGTCTCGGCAACATCCAGGCCCTTGAAAACCAGGCCACCACAAAGGCAGGCATACTCCAGGGCCTCTGACACCCCATGCAAGAAGAGAATTGCAGGGGGTGATGTCTCAATTACCAAACGTATGGCAATTGGGAGACCAAAAGAATACAAATTATTCCAGGGTGTCATTCCTTACAAAAATATTCTTTTCGTCAGTGTGTAAAGGAAGCAGCTTTACTGTGTAATGTGGACAATGTTCTTGCTAAATAGATGTCCATTTAACTATAATGTTTCATACAGTGACCATGAAGTATCTGTCAAGGCTGAAAAAAACATCTGCACCATGTTTTACTTTTTAGGCCTGCAATATTTTTGGGGGTATACATTTATTTGATTTTGCTACTCATACAATCAAAGAAATGTTCACGAAAAGGCGCATTAATGACATGTATACATTACTTGGTGTGTATGAGCAAATCACAGGACTGAAATCAGTATACACATAGCTGGCCTTGATTTTGGTAATAAAAATCCCTTTCACCTTTAAGATACCAGTTACCATCTTTCAAGTAACATCCCCTACATTTTGCAGCCATTTTTCAAAGCCCACGGACATTTAATCTCCAATAATGTATTATGATGATTTTCTTTGCATTAACTGTTCAAACCACTGAAGAACCAAGGGACAGATTTTCTTTATCGATCAACAAACCTTTAATTTGCTCTGACAGTTTCTTTAGGTCTCCTACTCTCAATCTGTTTATACATTTCTCTTCCCTTGCTTTCTTTTTTTCTACCCCACACAAGAGAAGTTGGTACATTGCAATATTCAATGCTACCAGTTAAAATATTGTCATGGAGCAAACATTGAACTAACTTTGAACAATCAATGGTACTGTTTGTTTTCAAATGAATCTGCCCTGGTGCAAACACGTTTAAAATTGGAAGTTGTTACCAAACTGACCATGTAGGATTCTCACTCTGCCCTGTAGTTTCATGTTCTGTGTAATTGATGTCATCAGTACAATATTTCAGTTTATCAATTACATCACAGGCTCATCATTGCTTCTTCATCGATTGATCATACGGATGGGCCATCAGTGAAACTCATTTTCTCGAAAGCTTCAATATCAAACAGGGTTGCAGCTATATGCCTGTAAGCCCCATAAGATCTGAAATTATTTAAAGATATATATGTATGTACACGTAACTACTTTTTATGAAGAGTGAATGTTTCAATGTGTTTAACAGTGTTATGTATAAATTTACATGAAGTAAAACATAAAAACTTTGGCAGAGGTCTACTGCAAATTCATATGGACATATATATACATTGTTCAAGAGTTTAGAACAGGTTCTGTCCCTTTCGAAACTGAAGTGGCTGGGGAATTCTGCTTTATCATAAGAATTAATCATATGCATTGTATTCGATGGCCGTTAAAATATTTAATATTAAGCATCATTAATCGGGCCTATTTCAATGTTCAAGATTACCAGTTGACTTACCCTTCAGGGCACTGGCAATAAGCATTTTTAATGTCAACATTCAGCTTATCAGCAATCCAAAGGTGGTAGTAGTCAGACGTTAAGCAACACATTCGCACAAATGGACCACTTCGTGACGAATGTACCCTGTAAAAGTCTTAACCATGATCCTTTAAATACATCTTCAACTGAGGTACAGTCTTGGAAGAGAACATACTTGATATTTTCTTGAAATCACTACCGTGGAACGTAAGTAGGCAATTTCGTCTGTCGACAAGCGATCTCGGCTCGGAAATCTGACGCGGTCACGTGTCATCAGGGGCAGATAACTCTAAACGGCCAAACTAGGAAATGGCTTTTGGAAGGAAGTTGCCATGATATTTAGATGCATATATGAAGAACTAACGACGGATGTTATTGTCAACAATAGAGTAGTCACATGTGATTATATGGCCAACTTGTTGGTGCTGAATCTTGGCAGGCACATGTAGAGGACGTTACCTTTTGAGACCATGTTCTGATAAACCGTTCCTATAATTTATCAACGTGGATGAAATGGGGTCCAGTGAGGCAAGTGAAACTGTTTATAGTTCCTGAAGTTTGAAAGATTATGGGACAACATGGAGAACTCATTTTTGTATGAGAATGTTACTCAGATTGAAGTTTCACGTCAATCGAAGTATGTTTATGTACGCCTGACTTTCAAACGTGGTATATTTGTCATTTTAAATTTGTGGCAAAACTTGCAAACTATCGCCAGCGAGTAAAGCAATGGTGTAAATCCTACTGAGATACCATGCAGGTAGGAGAGGTACTGTAAGTCATAATGGTGCCTGGTAT